ATTAACCACATCCATTTTTTGTGCCACAAAGTGAATCAAGATTAGTGGACATCGTGAGAAAGGTGGCCAGAACACAGGTGGAATCGTTGAACTTAATTTGTTTTTTTTTCTTGTCAATATTCCACATTGGTAGCACCTAATTTTGGAATCATGTTGGATTAATTAAATGGACTTATATTATCTAACGGTTGGAACATATTCCTTGTGTATAGTTAAAGAGGCAAAGACTTAAAAAAAAAAAAGTTCTTCCATATTTTAAGGGGTGATTAGTGGCCGCTTTAGGGTTCATGTAGGGACAATGAAGTGTCTTATACTTATAGGGCCCATCCGGATATTAGGGTTGACCAGTTTTATTAGGAACCCAATCCACGAGATCACACTACTTTTTAATTAATCATGATTAATAAAAGATCCAAACGGTCAAACCTAAACGGGGAACAATACGTACCTCCAAGTCCTTTTGGTGTTCTTGAGTTCTTGCCGGTTTTTGGTGTTCAAACGGTTTGGTTATCATGGTAACCGTTTTAATCGGTACTATTTGAATAATTTGGTTTGGTTAATTTGGATAATTGGTTTGGTTTGGCTAAAGTTTTTAGCTTGTTTGGTTTAGGTGGTTTGGTTTCAGACACTCCTAACCAGTCAAACCAAATTAACCAGTTAAGTAATTAGTCATATATCTAACATATATTATATACACATACTTAATACTTTGCATAACCACTCAAGAGTTAACGTTCATCCCTTTTATACTCATAAAATATAAAGCTCAATATTGCTCATATAGTGTATATTTGTATATGTAAAATGTAGACCACAACATATGGACGCCTAATGTAGATAAATTTCATACATTATGATGGATGAAAACTTGAAAAGAAGGAGATTTCCAGCCTATGATAATTGCTAAGAGACTAAGTCAATTTACACAAACACAACAATTCATTAACCCATACCATTGTCATAATTTTTTGTTAGGTGAATACTTCTATACTAATTGTAAGATAATTGTCTTAGTTGCATGTATTTTTGTTAAGGGTCAACTATAACTACGTGTTGATTGTTATGTTTTATTCATTATATAAATTGCGAATTGTTGCATTAATTGGAAAATTTTCATCATCAATGATAATGTGATTTTATATTGGTTAATCTGGTTAACCAATTAACCAAACCGATCAAACTTTAGTTTGGTTAATTTGGTTGTTGTATTAGTTTGGACGGTTTGATTATGACTTATGATATTGTATTCCATGGTTAATAGAATTTAACCTTATTTGGTTTGGTTATAACCATGGTAATCATTTGAACACCCCTACGGTTTCACGCCCGCCTCCCATCCTTATATTTGGGTTGACCATTTTAGGAACCGATAAGATCGTACCAATAATAAAAAGATCCTAACGGTCAAACCCAGACGGGAAACGATCCGTACCTCGGAGTCCTTTGGTGTTTTCTTGCGGGGCTCAATGGCATGCCGCATGCCGAGCTTACCGGTTTCACGGCCGCCGCACAAGTAATTCCCGGCGTTGATCACGGGTGGCCGTCATGCCGCCGTGATTCTGGTTTCCATTCCCTTTAATTAATTAACCGGCGGAGTCAAATCGAGTTTACTCTGAAAGTTATTGATCATGGGTTCAGATTCTGGCTGGGTTTCAACAAATAATACAGTTCGTACTAGAGGTTATATCGGAAAGAAAAAGGGCCGCCTAGTCTTGTCACAGTTCTGGCATGGACTTTGTGGAGAGCCAAGGGTCCAATTAAGCATACGGAGCACACAGCCCAGAACTGTGACAAGACTAGGCGGCCCTTCAAAACTTAACAAAAACAAACAGAAAAAGCCCAATTAACAATCCCTTTCACTGAAAAAGACTCGAAGGTTTCACTTTAACCAAACCGCCAAACCAAATCGTGTTACATCAATGGCGCCTCAAATAAATCAATAATCAAAGGCGGACCCCAATTGGCCACCTTCCACACATTTTTGCAACAAATAGAAAGGACTGGAAATCGCACAAAACTTGGCACACACGTAAAGACAAAGCAAAAGAAAAAGCTTGTTAGCAAGTGGAGTACTGTTATCTATATATACACACAAGATTCCTCAGGGAGGGTTAAAACTTGGCAACAAGAACCCTAAAACACTCATTAACATTCCCAAAAATAGGGCACCTCAGAAAACATTTGTGTAATCTTCACTCTTGCTTCTACTCCAGGAATAAATCAAAACATCTCTGATTCTGCACCCCCGAAAACTTCAGCCATTATTCAGATCAGCCAGATAAAAAAAACTTCCCATTTGCAGCAGCCTTCAACCCCTTGCCAACATCACATTCAACTCCGAGGATGACCCTTCTTTCTCAGATGCTTTCTTCCTATACAAGGGATGTCCTTGTTTACTATAAGCATCGTCTTTCGACGCTGCTTGTTGCTGCTGCATGTGAAGCAATGCAAGCATGCTCACAGCAAACAAGGCAGCATTTCCTAGCACACCACCCGCATTATCCAGTCTAAGCAACCTCTTGGCAAAATCTAAACTGGATACAAGGACGTTTACCACGATATTCGAAGTCTTTCCTTGGAGCTTAGTGAGCTTCTTCTCGCCGCCTGGACTTTCAGGAGTTGAGTACAGGTTGTCGGGGGAGACGAAACGGCTTGCATCGTGTACATCGCCAATGAATGCCAGAGCTTCTTCGATGACATTGTACTTCTTGCCATGGTGTTCGGCCAATCTCAGTGACAGAACTATCCTGGTTTGCTCTAGTCGTGCTATCGCAGCATCTCGCTCTGCCCGCTGCTGCATTTGCACGGTCTGCGAAACACAATCCAAGGACGAAGAAATTTAAGAATCAATTTTCTCAGCTTAATGCTGCTTTCCTAAACCCTATAACAGTACAATTAAACAGATTTCTGTATAACTACTCTCGAAATCTTCCGAATTGGCAATATATCTGGGTAATTGTTGCTTCCAATTTAAGAAAGGAATAAACAGAAAGCAAGATATCCCATTTCCAGATTTTCCCAACAACATTTTCTCAGGGACCAATCAAAACCAAAGAAAACCAGAATTAGCCTAATTTCATGCTTAACCACCCACCACCAACTATTTTCCCCTAGCCGGCGACTAAAATTAAGCTAAACGCAAACCGGAAATGAAACCCTAGAAAGCGGAATTGAGCGAACTCACATGGAAGAACTCCAGTTGCTCCCCGAGGTTCTCGAGCGCGGTCCTGATGGCGTTGAGGCTCTTAGCCTCTCGAATCGACGACTCGTTATCGTCGACACGGAGCTCCTTGACGAAGACGTACCCTCCTCCTCCTCCTCCGCCTCCTCCTCCGCCGCCGGCTCCCCTGTTGTCCTCGGCGGCGTCGCCGAAGAGCTTCTTCTTGGCGTCGGGCCGCCGGAGGTTCTTAATGGAGTTGAGGAAGTGAGCTCGGGAGATGGTGTGGATGGCGTCGCTGAGCTTGTCGTGGAGATCCCAAATCTTCTCGAGGACGACTTCAATTTCTTCGACCTCCATATCCCACCTCATGGCGGATGGCCAGAGTTGCAGAGAGAGAAAAGGCTGGAAGCAGGTGGAAATGGAATAAGGGAAGTTGGGGGAAATGGTTGGTTCGAGAATTTTTTGCCGGGTTTTCGAAATTCTCTCGGTTACAGTCAAAACTCAAAGCGGGCTTCCCGCTCGGTTGTTACTTGGGCCGGGCTTCTCTTAACCAATAAGCCTAATCAGTTGTAGCCAAAATTACCCAAGGGAGATAAACTTTAAAAAAAAAAAAAAAAATTTTGTCAATTGTTTCATTTTACAAATCGAATAATTTGAAATGATACAATTTGAATTGTTAGCTTCAGCCTATACACTTGGTAATTGCCTAAAAACAAATCAATATGAAATTCTCCGGGTAAAATTTCTTCATCAAAATTTTGTGCCGCCAAACGGATCTATTCGGTCAGATTGTCTCATCTCAAAATGTAACAATTAGGTCAAGTTGATCCGTTAGGATTCCTCATCCAAACGACCCCTAAAAGAATATATCTTTGCTTTTTTAAATCATCAAAGAGATCTTCTTTGTTATTGAAAAAAATGTTTTTTTTACAGACTCGTTACAAGGTGCTTCTAAAGGAGTGAGAAAAAGGGGAAAACAGGAGTCGTCCCTGGGATTCAAATCTGGGGGCTCCAAGTTTAAAACTAGCAGCACGACTACTCGGCCACGATATCTTTCGCAAATTCTTGTTTTTTAAGTGCTTGTTTTAGAGGGTATAATAACTCATTATCAAGAGTACGCAACCAAACTCAAATCAATTGAGCTTACGACAATCCAACCAACACTACTTTTGGTGGGTTTCCCAAGTCTCTCGACCAGTAAGTTAATGAGTTCGTAGCAGTTTTGTACTTTAAGTATATGCGCTAAATACATTCGACTGTCTGCTACAACTATGTCCTGGATTAGACTTCATCACCTCGTTACTTCGGTCGCTCATATCCCTAAAGCATTATGATTCTCACATGAATTCAAAATCTTGTTCATTCTCCCTCTCTTTCACGAAAATATACTCAAAAGACATTCCAATTAACTTCGACATTCTAGAACAAAAAAATTAAAATTATATCAATAATTATATATAATTTCATCCACTAAATCAATTCTTCCCGAACCGCATAAAAGGTAAATCTTGATATATCATATTACATCTCATGCATTTCTGATTACAACGATTATTACTATTTCAAAATTATAAATTAGGATAATACATGAAAAATCGACCCCACCCAAATTCGTTGTGGATGTTACTGTTGTGGTTGTTAGTGTTGTGGTATATGATCCACGATTGAACCTCTCCCAACAACTCGAGTTATTGGGAGCAACTGGTTCATGACAGTGGATTCACCAAAACCTTCTCCCAAACGATATTCACTACTCCCGCATGACCTCTCTACTGCCTCTTGGCCTAATATGTGTGCATCACCTAATTCCATATTCCCTCCTCTATTTCCCCACCTTAAAATGCTTGATAAGTCAAGGTTTATTACTCTGCTCCTTCAAATTGAAGAGAAGCAACGACCCAAGAAGGAAATACAGGAGATGAACAGTTCAGATGAAGTTGATGAATGCTGTTGCAGGAGACAAAAGAAGAGGAAGTGGAAGAGGATTGCTCCAATGGCCGAAGCAGGTCACGATCGCAGGGCCGACTTGTGGCCAGCCCTGCAATTGGGTTTCATCATGACTCGTTTGTCCCCTGATTTCTACCACATCTTCGCACATACAATGAGGAGGAAATACAGGAGATGGAGAAGTTGTTGCTGCTGCAGGGGAAGGAAGAAGAGGAAGTGAAAGAGGATTGCTCCATGGACGAAGCAGGTCACGATCAAGAGTACTACTGCCAGCTTTGCCTCCAGCCTTGCGAGAATCGAGTATCTTGTCGCTTCTAGAGACAAAATACCTAATTCGGAATTTTTTTTTCCTGTTTATTCACGTAATTAGTTTGAGATTATTCACATAAGAGTGTTGATTATTCACGCAACCAATAATGTTATGTCACGCAGTCTGGTGTTTATTCACGTTGTTGTAATATCAAGTTTTAAACTTTGGAGTATATCAAAATGGATGTCATTGTAGATTATGATCAATGCAACACCTTTTTGCATATTAATTGAGAATCCAAATTTGATTTCATAGAATATATATATCCAATACAAATTATTGGAGGGGAGGTCTGAATTTTCATTTACGTAAATAACTTACACTCTTACGTGTGAATAAATATAGTTTTACGTGAATAAACACCAAATAATGTGAATGATCACAAAAAAATACATGAATAGCATTACGTGTTTTGTCTCTAGAGGCGTCATGATAACTTTTCGGTAGGTCATTTGGTTGCTCTTTTGGTCATGACATGAACCTTCTTGACAAGAAATTGACACCTTAACTTGTATTCTTCTTTGCATTTTGCACTTTGGCCATACTTGCCTAATAGCATAGTTTAGGTGCTTCTAGAGTATTATTGGCTTATCTTGGTATTCCCTCCTCTTTAATGATATTTATATTTTTGTTTTTGTTGATGCATGGTTGATCACAATCATCAATAAAAAAAATGTTCTAAATCTCGTGTAATTGATAGGCAAATAAGCAAAGGCATTTTTTTAGAAGTAGAACTTGCAAAAACATGGTCCCTCAAAGAAATGTTTTCGCCATTCAGCACTACTAACCATCCATCATAAACTTCAAGAGATCAGAAATTCACAACAGAAAAACGTATAATGACTTTGTTCATGATTTTAGTGGACTTTGGTTTGTAGCCGTTTAGAATGATTTGGTATCTAATCATCATTAAAATTTAAACAAAAATTAAACGATCTCTTTGCACAAATATGTAAAGAGGGAGGCTGAAATCCGTCATCAATACCAAAGACCATGCAACACGTCCAAACAAACGACCCCAAAAAAAAAAAAAAAAAAAAAAAAACCCATCATAAAATATCATCAGCATATCCACCAAAATTCAAACCACATTAAAAAAAAAGAGTTCATGGTATAATACCTCAAGTCCTTAACATAATATTCCACATTCCATTTCCATTCCCATCGATGTTCCCCCTCTTCTCCATAGCTTCCCACGTCCACCTTTTCTCCATCATCGCCAACTATATTAATCCCCCCAAAAACCAGACCAGAAATGTCGATTAGAACCACACACAAAAAAAAAAAAAAAAAACCTAAGACGTACGACGACATGGCGACTTCTTCCAACAACAACAACAACAACAATCTGGCGGTCCTAACGGCGCTGGACAACGCGAGGACCCAATGGTACCACGTTAAGGCCATCATCATCGCCGGGATGGGGTTCTTCACCGACGCCTACGACCTCTTCTGCATCACCGCCGTCTCCAAGCTCCTCGGCCGCCTCTACTACTATGACCCGGCCGCCGGGCAGCCCGGGAAGCTGCCCAAGTTCGTCAACAACACGGTCAGCGGCGTCGCCTTGGTCGGCATGTTCTGCGGCCAGCTGTTCTTCGGCTGGCTTGGGGACAAACTCGGCCGGAAAAGGGTCTACGGGATCACCCTAATCATCATGGTGGTTTGCGCCGTTTGCTCAGGGATCTCGTTCGGTTCAACCACCAAGTCGGTTATTGGGTCGCTCTGCTTTTTCAGGTAAGAGGGCTTCTGTCATAAACCAAACCAATTGGTCTCAATAATTTGACTTGTTCATAGAGGTCTATGTATGATATTTAATCATTTGTTACACGACTCACTCAAATGAAAGCCAAGTACTCAACTCATGGGATTAAAACTTGCACATATCCACCGTATCATGTGTTTTGAAGACAACGGTTAATATTGTGGGTCGAGATGACTTGAGCATGTGAGATTATCTACAAAATTCTACACATAAATTAAACAAAAAAACAAGTGGTGGAGATGGAATCGGTTAGGATATCCAACAAACCAAAAAAAAAACAAAGTTTTGATACCATGTAATAAACCAATTGCTAAAATAACTCGAGCTGTTGGGTGATGTCTATATATTGTACTTAACGACCACTTCCTTATCGTTTCCGATGAGACGGTTTTTGTGATTGTTTTGTCACAAATTCTCTGGTGGTGGTGGTGATACTTATTAGTAAGTGATGTGTGATTCACAATTGAACATCTCCCAACAACTCGAGTTATTGAGACCAAGTGGTTTGTTCGTTGACTTGATTTTAGAGCGCCTTCTATGACCGAGAAGTCTCTTGTTTGAATTCCAGGTGACCTTATTTGTTAAGCACATGGTATTTGAACCCGTCCATATTTCACCATATGAGTAGACTTTTTCGTTTGAGGATGTGTATTAACAAGCGATATATAATTCATCATTGAACATATCCCAATTACTCGAATTATTGTAACCAGTTGAATGACCGTACTTGTTTTGCTTTTTTACCCTAATTTACATTTCATTGCTTTAGGTTTTGGTTGGGATTCGGGATCGGCGGCGACTACCCCTTATCCGCGACGATCATGTGCGAGTACGCCAACAAGAAGACACGCGGCGCGTTCATCGCGGCGGTCTTCGCCATGCAAGGCGTGGGGATCATCTTCGCCGGACTTGTCTCCATGATCATGGCCAAAATCTTCCTCGTCGAAAATCCCGCCCCGACATTCACGGAGAACGAGATCCTGTCCACGCAGCCTCAGGGCGACTTGCTGTGGCGGCTCGTCCTCATGCTCGGCGCCCTGCCGGCGGCGCTGACCTACTACTGGCGGATGAAGATGCCGGAGACGGGGCGTTACACCGCCCTCATCCGCGGCAACGCCGAGCAGGCCGCCAAGGACATGACACGTGTCCTCAACATGGAGATCGAGGAGGAACGCGACAAAGTGATCGAGTTCAAGCAGTCCAACACGTACCCGATCCTGTCCAACGAATTCTACGGCCGCCACGGGCTCCACCTGGTGGGGACCATGTCCACGTGGTTCTTCCTCGACATCGCGTTCTACAGCCAGAACCTGACACAGAAGTACATATTTCCAGCAATGGGCCTGGTCAAACAGGCCCAAGACGTCAACGCGCTGGAGGAAGTCTGGGAGACTTCGCGGGCCATGTTTCTGGTGGCGCTTTTGGGGACTTTCCCCGGGTACTGGTTCACCGTGGCGTTTATCGAGAAGTTGGGCCGGTACGTCATCCAGTTGTTGGGCTTTCTCATGATGTCGATCTTCTTGTTGATAATGGGGATCAATTATGAGTACTTGAGGGACAACAACAAGGGCCTTTTTGCTCTTACTTATGGGCTCACGTTTTTCTTTGCGAACTTTGGGCCCAATTCGACTACGTTTGTCTGGCCCGCGGAACTGTTCCCGACCCGGCTGAGGTCCACGTGTCACGCGCTGAGTGCGGCGGCGGGGAAAGCCGGGGCGATGATCGGCGCGTTTGTAGTGCAGTCGTATACGTTCGACGAGAACGTGGGGAGGATTCGACATGCGCTGATGGTGTTGGCATTTACGAATATGTTGGGGTTCTGCTTCACGTTTATGCTGCCGGAGACGAAAGGGATGTCGTTGGAGGAGATTTCCGGGGAGGACGGTGGCGGCGGGGCTGGCCGGAAGGAACCCCGGTGGGGGGTTAAATCGCCTGAAATCCCGGTAGTTTAAATGTGCGGGGAAAATGATAATGTTCTCTTTCAAAGATATCGTCATCAAAATTTTGGGGCTTTCCTGTTTTTATATTGGGCGTTTTTATGTTGTGTTTTTTGTGCAACATATATTATGAAGATGTAATTGGGAATCTGTGATCGCTTTCATCCTAATTTATTGAGTAGTAGCAAAGTATATAATCTCATATTGCATAAATATATAGCCACCTTGTTTATTTACAAAAAAAAAAATACTCATTATGTATATAGGTTTTTGCATTTTGCAGCACGATAAACTTTCTGACAACTTGCTTGTGGTAGAAGGCAGCTTACTTCGTAGCAACTTCGAGCCTTTTGTTTGAAGCATTCCAGATATCTAATTTTTCATCCAATGGTTTGCCTTTGTAGGAAAAACATACCTACTTTCATGTGGTAGAGGCCCCTGGACTCGACTCTCATCCATGTTTCTCGAATTGAGCTCCAAAGTAAGCTTCAGAAACACGTTCCCAGACTTGGCCATTTTCAGACAGTTTCACAGTTTTGGCATAGCCTTTTGATCAGGTTCAAAAATGGTCTTCTGGACTTTCTACCGAGCTCCCAAGCACTTCATTGTGTAGAGGGACACCCCAGCTTCAAAACAAGCCATTAATATCCAATTTCCATCGAGCCAATTGTAAGATATGAATCTCCAAAGTAGGCACCATGAAACTGTTTGTACACTGAAACAACAAATTAGGTCGACCTAATCCTAACTGAGGTCGACTGAAAAGTGCAAGTTACGGTGACTTGCAAGTCACCATAGCAAAGTCCTAAACATTGTTGTAACCTAATGTATTCTTGAATTAATATAATCATTGTGATTTCTCTTAAAATTGTATCTTATAATATTATCTTAGACCCGGTCGTTTTCGTTGGAATATTTAGATATCTTCTTAGAATTTTTTATTTATCCATCTCATTTATTAATCAAAATAGTATAATTTTTTGTGTAAAAACATAGTGCAGAAAGGGCAATCTAACCCTTAATTATTAATAATGCGCAGGGTTTGAATCCTGATAGAATCAAAATACAACCAATACCGTAAAATAGGCCCCGGAGTATCTAACACATGGATCACTATGGGCGGGTTATTTCATTGTTGTTGCTTGTTATTTCATCTTTGGAAGATATCATTAAATGAAATGCAATATGAAAGAGGCAAAGCGAGCTAAGATTAGAGTATGTAAATAATTTGGCTGTATAATGAATGTTAATTGGGTGCAAAATATGAAATTGAAAATAAAGTTCATGGATCTAGATGAAATGACATTGTAAAAGGTGTAGAGATGGCGGTAGAGACCACATAAGAAATAACATTACCCTTACAATTTTATGATTCAAATCTTTGAGTCATATTTACTTATTTTTTTTAGAATTTACAAAATTACCCCTATTTTCGTTCCCCTCCAACATCATCTAGTTCTCTCACACTAACCACCATCGACCATCATCAATTCACTTCGACGTATTAATCATCATGGATTCACCACTTTCCAACATTAACTTTAATCAATTGAAACATTAACCATGAGAAATTATCTTTGTATGTGTTATGCATTTTTGCTTTGTTCATAATTTTCCTTATTAATATCATTCCGTCTTCATTTTTATATGTGGTATCTGTTATGTGGCTCATAACGGTCAACCTCATTATTATATAGGTCAAGTCGTTTCTGTTGAAATGCATATATATCAACAAGCAGCTGAGTGATAATTGTATCAATGAAAGTAGATGGAATTATCAAATGGTCGATCTTCCTCGATGTGAAGGTCAACCATATTGTTGATGTGACTTGAATAAGACTCTCAGCCGCTACGACTGGAAGTCACGGGGGTCTGTAATCGTTTCCTTTACCAGATTGGATTAGGTTTTAGACTCACATGGAGAAGTATAAATACTTCTCATCTCCTCTGTAATTTGTAATCTTCTCGATATAGTGAAACTGAATCTCTCTTGCCCGTGGACGTAGCAAACACACATCGTGTTAGTGAACCCCGTAAATCGTGTGTCTGTTTTCGATTCTCGCTTTTGTATTCTTGCTTTCTCGATTCCGGCAATTTCTCGATATGTAGCAGCACAATTATAACAAGAGAGGTATGGCTTTGAGGATATGGTGGCATATTCATTTCAGGTTGGTGAAGAAGTGGATGCAGGCGAACCACAGTCCTATAGAGAAAGCCGTTTCGTGTGGCGAAGCTGATTCGTGGCTTGCCGCAAATGGGAGATGAGATGAAATTCCATGATATGAATCAGGCTTGTGAGTTAGTCAAACAACCACAGAAAAGAAAGATTGTTACAAACAAGTGGATCTATCACTTCTGAAGAGGGCATTAGTTTATCGTTATCTCAAGTTACGATAACAAAAATCAGTGAATTTCCCATGCCAAAGTAAAAAAATAAGATCGCTTTCATCCTAAACTTAAATATAACTCAAATAGTCTCTTGGAAACATTCGATAAAATTGGAAAAATATAACTCAGACATGTTAGTCAATAATTAATTACTGTTCGCCTTCTTGGTATGCATTGAAAAATAATAATACAGTTAGTAAATAAATAAGAATTGTTAGAGAAAAGAAGCAAAATAAAAAAATAATCAGATGCATAGAAAGCCCTAGAAAAGTCGAGATGGAGATTGTTTGTTCCCCAAGTAAACAAGGCCTTGTTTGTTTCCCGCATTTTGCTAGCCACGTAAATTAGATGCAGTTTGTGTGGAGATGACACGTGACACCTTTCCATGGGGGGATAAATACCCATGTAGTACCCAAATCTGCCTATATATTTCACATTGGACACCAACTTCGTTTTTCTTAAAACATAAAAATTTCTTCAACGAGTGAACATTGGTTATTTGCTATGTTGTCAACCCGCGGGTCGACCCACTTTGACTCTGACCCGATGAAAAAAACGAGTTGCACGCATTCGTCGGGTCGACCGTTACAAGGTATCGGATTGGAGGTCAAATTGTGTCTTTTTTTTGTTTGATTTTTTTTAGAAATGCGCCTATTTTCCTATTTTTCTTTTCGCCTAACTCAATTTTTGAAATCCTTAATTGAACATTTGAATATTGATGTTATATAAGTGGGTGTGAATTTTTACTATATGTTGGATCTAAGTACGATATGTTACTTTGGTGCAATGTTATATGTTATTACTCATATGTTAGATGAAATTTGGTATAATTTATCAGGATAAATACAATATAATGACTCTTTCCATATTTTCGGGCTAAACGGGTGACCCATTAACCCTTGATCCACTAGCTCGACCGGGTACAGGTCAATCCGCAGGTTGACAACCTTGGTTATTTGTCACTTCATCTATTATCCAAGTTATGTAAACCCCTTGTTTTCCAACCAAAAGCCTCAATTTGAATTTCCAATAAAATTGGGGAAGTTAAGATCTATGACTCATGTTGCCACATATAAGTTCGTTTCTTATCCAAATTTTTTGTTTGTATAACTATAAATTGATGACGATACATGTCAAGAAGTTATCGACATTACATTACTATCAAAAGGCACTGGCATGATTTGTAGTAGCCGCAATAGAGAAATAATATATTTTCACGTATATAATGATAAAACATTTTCAAGCTCACAGATTTCTGTTTATCACATTCGAAACACGTTTGATTTTGGAATGCAATTGAATGTTGCATCCGAATACCGAACTTTCTTCTGCGTGATATAGTCTAGGTAGTATATGACATTTATCTGTCCGATATTAGTAACATAGACAGACACACATAAACAATAATCTACGATCATGATGGTGTTAATTAACGGCGTAACAACAAGTTTCACGACCTTAAATACTATAATACCAAATTGAATGACCAATATAGCATATACGGACAAGTATCGGGGTGAAACTGAAATCTTAAAGTCAGGTCGGCCGTTTCAGACATCAGCCAAGCCAAACGCGGCCTACTACCCTCAGAGAGTTTGTTATGGAAACCCTTCTTTCCCCAAATTTGCCGGAACCCGAAACGAGAGAAGGAAAAAGAAGGCTAATTTTTCCGTTTCAGCGACTGGTTCGGCCGTCTCTTTGATTCTTTTGCTATCGAAGGGAGGGGGTATTATGGCCGAGGTAGAGCGGTGCCGTAACCCATGGGTGAACGCAGCGCCGATCCCCGTCCCCGGAATCACAGCGGCTCTGGAATTGCAGGAGCAGACAATGGTGGTCGCCGTCGACGGCGTGCGGCAGCGGAGCTTCTCGGCTCAGCAGGGTCACCAGACCAACAACGGTAAAAGCGACGAAAGTTTAGGACTTGGCGAGAGAGCGCTCTCTGCGGCAGGGGCCGCTTTCCTATCGGCGATTATAGTGAATCCTCTTGACGTTGTGAAGGTAATAACGGCTTCGCATGTCTTCTTGAGATTGGAAAATGATTGCTGGGAGAAAAGTGGGAAATCTTTGATCCTTCTTATTGGGGATTGGTGGGTTGAGTTTCTTGCTATGTGGGTTGTGTGTTTTCTTGCTTTTTCTTTGCGATTGATGCTTCTTGATGGGTTTTTTTTATTTGGGGATTTCGTTGTATATGGCATAAAATTGGTATGTCGATTAGTTTGGAAGGTTCTCGGAGTTGATCCCATTGATGGGGCGTTGATCAATTTCTTATTGTTTCATTGAACAGACGAGGCTGCAAGCACAGGCAGCTGGAGTTGCTTACTCGCATCCACTCAGCAATGTCATAAATCGCATGGCTTACTTTGGTCCAACCATGGTAGAGATATATTTTTCTTTTTTGCTCCAATTGTTTCTGTCAATGATAATTTCTTGTTCTGAATGGTCTGTTGAGTAACATTCGACCTTGTTTGCCAGTTGTTTGCTGATCTTAGATGTTCACCAACTTGTACGCGTGCTGGACTTCACGGGACCGTGTCCATGTGCCCTCCTGATTGTTTTCAGTACAAGGGAACCTTTGATGTGTTCAACAAGATCGTAAGACAGGTATGTTACTGTTGTCAGTATTTGCGTTCAATGATGTGAATGGTGCTGTTTCTGCTTGCTTGGATTTGTTTCTTTATATTGATTGAACATCAATTGTTGAACAACAAGATGATACTTGCAGGAAGGGTTTGGGAGGCTGTGGAGGGGCACAAATGCGGCTCTGGCTCTAGCTATTCCAACAGTAAGTTCCTTCTCATTTGTGGAATTACGAGAAAGGCTTAGTTCTTTAAGAAGTGGAAAGACTCCTAAAAGCGAATCTCTAAGCTTATGGTGCTTGACATCATGTTTTATGCAGGTGGGCATTTACTTACCCTTATATGATGTATTTCGCATCTGGCTGGAGGAGAAAACCTCTCAGAGTATTCCTGGTGCAGCACCTTACGTTCCCTTGGTAGCTGGTTCACTGGCACGTTCATTAGCTTGTGTAACTTGCTATCCTGTTGAACTTGCTAGAACTCGCATGCAGGTATTTTGAGACTCCTTTTGGTTAATTTTAATCAAGTAGTGAAATTTGATTCATTCCTGTCCCTTTATCTGATGACTCTCAGTCCATCTGTCAGTCAGTTTCCTTTTGTTTGTTACCTACCTCAAGGGTCATGGCCTTTCCCTTATTTTTTCTTTTCTTCTTTTGATTGAAATCAAAGGCATTCAAAGCTGCCCAAAATGGTATGAAAGCTCCTGGCGTTTTAAAAACTCTACTTGAAGCCCTTCCTCATGTCCAAGGCAGGGATAACCGTGGAACTAACTGTGAGTATGCTTTGGGTGAATTTTCTCGGAGCCTTTATTAGTTTAAAAGCTATATGGTAATACTTTTATATAAAAGAAAAGTTCTCAAGTAGATGCAAAGTTTTTGATTGAGATGCTCACTTGCAACAGGGAGAGGTTACCGGGTACTGTGGACGGGCATGGGAGCACAGCTTGCTCGTGACGTTCCATTTTCTGGAATTTGTTGGGCACTACTTGAGCCTGTGAGTACATGCCCTTCTCTTTTTTTCTTATAAAGAACGAGTTAGTAGTAGTTTCTTGCTAATGGATTGTGATTCAAGTTTATGATGTGTTTAGCTGATAAATATTTTTGGACTTGGCTTTCGTTCTTTCCGCCTCACAGATGAGGAGAAATCTTTTGAGTATAGTTGGCGACGATGCAAATGTAGCCAGTGTACTTGGAGCCAACTTCTCGGCTGGTTTCATTGCCGGAAGTGTTGCTGCAGCTGCAACATGTCCCCTGGATGTTGTTAAAACTCGAAGGCAGATAGAGGTCAGTATTATCTTCCAAGGTTTCTGTAACTCAACAGTCAACAGACAGTAGATACTCACTTTGTGTAGTTTCCGAGGTTTAGCAGACTATAACCAGTTGCCTCTTCTCTTCTTGTTTTAACTTTCAGATGGATCCTGTGAGGGCATTAAGTATGACAACGCGGCGAACACTAATGGAGGTTTGGAGGTAACTTTCCCAGTGTAAATTCTTAGGATCTTCATTTTCATTGGTAGCAGTAACTTGTTCCTGATCTGCTTCATATGGATGAATAGGGATGGAGGGATGAGGACACTTTTCACTGGTGTTGGGGCCCGTGTTGGAAGAGTAGGGCCTTCTGTTGGCATTGTGGTCTCGTTCTACGAGGTGGTGAAGTACGCTCTGCATTCTCGGTATGAATCCGCTTAGCAAGTAGACTTGAGAGGGAAGCATCAGATGGGGTCTTGCTGACTGACCATTTTGTTTCTATTGTTCATAGTCTTAACAAATGTTCCCTGGGGAGTATAGGGAATGAAAAAGAAAAGGTTGGGTGAAGAAGTAGGGGTAGCAGCAAAATAACAGTTGATAACAAGAGAAGAGGCAGTTTTGTCTACTGGTGGGGTTTTTGTGGCCTTCACTGAAAGCCTGCAAGTTTTCTGTGTCTAGGTGTAGTTTCTTCCTCCTTTTCCCCTGTAGGCTACGAAGCACAAGGGCATTACTATGCCATGAAATAGAAACACCCTCTTCTCTGCAGAGTTTTGGCTATTCAGCTTTCCAAGCTGTAAAATTTTGGTTGAATTTTCATTCATCACTTGAACGGAAGATTGTGCAGAGTACAATAATGGATTTTGGCTGAGGGGTTGGTCTCAGTTTTTGTCACAAGAAGGAATATATATGCTTTCTCGAAAACATATGATTGATGTTCATTCTTATCATCAGATTACCACAACCCAACAAACATAACCTAACCAGATGACATTGAAAACAACTAAAGACACTGTGTTCCCAATTCCCACCCATTTTATTGATTTAGCCTTCACAGAAGTTTCCTGCTCCTTTGATTTTCTTCAGCCTTGATATTGACAGCAACCGCCCTGGCATGGAGCATGGGCCACCGCCGCCTTGCTAGTCTCTTGCTTGAAGCTCATGACAGCAGCAGCAACCGGTTGGGTGGGTCTCTTGCTTGATGCTTGTGGCTGCGGCAGCAGCACCAGGAGTAGGAGGTTTGGTCGCGATCTCTTGATTCACCACGGTTTCTACCTTCGGAGTTGCATGGCTTGTCCCCGAGCAACAACCGCTCCTTCCTTGCATCCTTCTCAGACTGGTTACTGGTTAGCAAACTGCTCTGTGTGGCCTTGGTGTATGTGGTTTGGTGCTTGATAATAGAAAGATCATCGAGTATTTATACAGAGATGGGGGACGAGGGTCGCATTGCATGATCGATTGTAAGTTCATGTACCGTTACTTAATACGATTGTGGAAGCCGAAGAGCTTTGTGTGTGTGTGTGTGTGCTTACTCTGGGACTGGAGCGATTCATTGCACCATCAATTAACCATCTTTCAACAACTTCCCCACTCCTCTTGCTTAATGCGTAACTGGATTCATCTGGGTTAGCCGTTTTTCCTGGTTTACTGGGCGGTAGCCTGCAATGGAGAATGGTTTGTGGTTACTGGTCAGGATCATGGGCCTGAATTTGGACTCAAACGTTTTCTGCGGTTTACTGTTTGATTCAAGGGCACGCAGAGAAGCAGAACATCACAGAATACTTGGCCTTCAGTTGATACGAAACTGGGATAGATTGGTTGGTGAAACTTAAATATATAGTTTTATTGCATGCTTGATATTTGTATAAATTGATTAAATTCAAACCTGATGTTGTTCCCCATCACTGGAATTGATGAAAAAAGACAAAGAATCTGGTCGATGAAATTCCCTACAAAACCAGAAGCATGCTCTCATCTTAGAGCCTTTCGACCATAAATGATTTGTAGAGAGACGCTAACTAATTTTTAATTTGCAATCGAAAATATGGATTGGTAAGTTAGGATCTTATGTATTTTGAAGTTTTTGTCAACTCTAGATTTGATTACATCGATAGTTGGATAACAAGAAATGCTATATGCTTTACAAAATTTGTATCAATTCGCACCAAAATGAGGGATAGATTTGATCGTGAAACTTGTATAGATTTGTTACATGTTTGATACATGTATAAATTCTTCTATTGTTTTTTTTTACCGTTATATCACTCGTATCATCGAGGAAAGAAAAGATCAAAATGTCAATACAACATCCTATATCAAGACGTAAAATCAAACCCCAACGAACTCGGGAATAAGCAAAGGGCCTTATTCGAGAAATATGACTATTGATTTCATTGACGAATGAAAGATACGAATTGATCTTTATAGAATTCATTACAAAACTAGAAT